GTCATCGTTTTTCCCGTCGCTGGCATTATTGGAGCTTGGTTTTTGTGGGTAGTGATTATTTGGATTTTTGGTTATTTGGTTCCCTATGTTACACCAATCATCGTGATGACCTTTTTCTTGGCGTCCAGACATCTTGCATTTTTGACATTCATGTAGTGAAGGTATGTGAAACGAGATTTCTACACCTTCCCACATTTTGAAGCCATCCATTCTCGATTTATAAGACCAGTCCTTCAGCTTTTTCTCTTGTTCTTCGTTTTGTATTTTAACTTCTAAAATTGCTCTTCCTGTGTAAACATACTGACCCGGTTCAGTTACGATACAGGTCTCACGTTGGAATATGGGGCTATGAATTATGTCTTCTGGCAATTGGAGAATTAATTTCGCTTCGATATCGTTGCATACATAAGGCAAGTTCGACAATTTGATTTTTGCTAGTTTAGGGTAAATGTTCTTGGGTCTATGAGACCTTGGAAAGCATCCCATGGGAAATACCGTCCTGTTAAGTAGAATGATTCCTTCGCTTTTGATGCTAGTTATGAATTGCTCTGCTTCGGGGGGAGCATTAACTGTCAGTGTATGAAGTTTGCGGTCATCTTTCGTCACGGTTATTGTTTTTGAGATTGTCATCTTCTGTTGCATTGTTGTGGGGAATTGCTTAAGTATATCGGAAGCACAACTTCGATATGCCTGCGCCAGATTTTCAGCTGACCTTACAATTTCTCTCGAGAATGGGGGGATGATTTTGATTATTTGGATTTGTTTTGTTTGTGTCGTCGATTTGTTTGTTGTAAGCGCATTTCTGAAATTTGTCTCCGTTTCAATCAGCACTTCGTGAGTAATTGGTAGCTGAGATTCCGTCAGTTGTTGTTGACTCATGACTTGGTTTTACTCAATGGGGGGCAAAAAAGCCCTCACCCGTAGGTATGCTTGAAAAAAAATAGATTTTTCTCTTTCAAAATGTAGAAATCAGAAGGCAAAAACATCAACTATAACAAACATCTTTTTTTTTTTTTTTTTTCAAATTGTAAATTAAATTTGTTTAGTTAGGAGTTTCATAATCAATATGTACAACAAATAACATCCTATTTGTTCAATTGACATTACTTTTACCGGATACCGGGTATCCTGGTTTGTTGCTGAATTCTTACATTTCCTTATAGTTTAGATCAGAAGGAGCAATTTGTATTTCTCATCTTCCATACTTCCCATGACACAAATGTTTGCAAGTTGATTTTCCATGACGTCGATAATTTCGAATATGCACCACAAATAACCAAAACAACATACTTAAGTCTTGCAATGTTGGTTGATACAAAAACGTCACGCCAATTGTTAATCTGTAAAATGTTTCTTGAAGGTTGTAGCGAGGGACAACTGAAAATTAGGTGCTCGAATGTTTCGCATTCTAAATTACAATAGAAACATTCGGGGGCATTCTCGAGAAATAAAAACCACCGCTTTTCTCGATCTTTAAAAACAGCGTATGCAAATTTATAAAGAAAGTTTTTTTCCCATACATCAAGCATTGAATTTTTCCAAATTTTGCCTGTAAATTTAATCAATTCTTCTTCTGAACAGAGGTAACGGTTTGCTGCAAAACCCAAGCGAAAAATCACAGCTCGATGAAAACTACAGTTTTTTAAGCAGAAATAATAAACATCTCGCGATTTTGTCTGTATTGTTATAATTAAACGGCTATTGGTACTGTTTGAAAATATTGCAAAATCACTTGAACTTATTTCAATAGAGATGTTCGTATTTCTCAACAAATTTTTGATTTCTTTCGGTAAAATTGAATCTGTTGGTAATAAACTATTTGGATCTGACAAATCAGAAGCAAAGAAATCGATAATTTTCATACTAAAAAGTTTAAGTTGTAGGCATGGTAAGCCTATCCCACCATCTAAGATGGGGTGATATAAAACTTCTTTTCTTATGTCGAGTCTGCTTGTTTTTTTCAATTCTGTATTTAATAATTCTTGGCATTTACTAACAGTATCCAAGTTAACTGTAGTATGACGAGCCAAATGAAAAAACTTAGGGAGAACATAAACTGACAGTGTTAATGATTCGGCCCTCAAAGATTTACTTAGTGAAATTAACCCTCGATGTTTTTGAATTTGTGAACTCAACAATAATTCAATATTTTCAATTTTTTGGGAAGTGTAAAACAAGACACCAAGTATTTTTGTTTCCTTGACTGTTTTATAGGGTGATAAATCAGGTATGGAAAGCACTTCGCTTTTACTTATGTTAATCATCATTTGAGTTTGTTTGCAAAATGTATCGATTAAGCGAAACAACCTGTCAATACATCGGATTTTGATAAGGCAAGTTATGTCGTCTGCATATGAAACTAGTTTGGGGCACAATATTCCGAAACCTTCAATTGCTTCTGTAGATTCAATTGCTTGAAGAAGGGGTTCGATAAAAACTATGAATAAAAATGCGGAAAGAGGGCAACCTTGTCTCACACCGCGATGAATGTTGAAGCTGGCTGATAAAAAACCATTTATCTCAATTACTGCTTTTGAGTCTAAATACAAAGTTTCAATAGCTCTAACTGAAAGCTCATCAAGGTTTAACCCTTTCAAAATTTTGATGAGAAGTGATCTGTCAACTCTGTCAAATGCTTTAGAAAAGTCTAACTTTACAGCACATGAACCTCGGGTAGCCAATCGTTCTGGAGTAATCGCTTTTTTCAATTTTCGTATTGCTGTGTGCATTTGTCTTCCAGGCAAATACGCGTGCTGATGGTTTTTTACAACTTTGCAAAGGTCATTTTTAATTCGATTACAGACTACATGGGCAAAGATTTTCGCGTCAGTATTCATAAGGCTGATGGGGCGAAAATCTTGTACTGCTATGGCATTTTCAGATTTCGGGATCAGTTTGATTATTGCTAAATAAAAACTGTTTGGAAGTTTTCCACCATGAACAAAATGATTAAAAACTTTAGCTAAAATTGAACAAAACTCATCCGTGAAAGTCTTGTATAGCTTAGAAGTAAGGCCGTCTGGTCCAGGCGAGCTTTTCAAATTCAATTTGTTTATAGCCACGTGAATTTCATCTTCTGTAAAGTAATTATAGCCATCATTCTCATTTTTTTCGAGTTTATTTTTTGATTAAAATGTCTTTAGTAGTTGATCGGAGTCTGTTGTAGAACTATTTGAAAAAATGTTTGAAAAATACTTTCGAAATTGATTAAGAATATTTTCATCCGTATTTTTTTTGCAGGACTCAAGTCTGATGACCATAACGTTAAGAAACCACCAGAATTATTTGAGCCCGGTATGAAATCGAATAAAACATTATATTTATCCAGTAAACTCAAATGTATATTTGTAAGTTTCGATATTTTTGCTTCCTGAATGCACAAAATGAAACTGGGCGATTTTTTTAAAACTTGGCATTTTTTGATAAGTGAGTGTAATTTAGCTGGATTTCCTATGCTAAAAATATTAACGGAAAAAATATCTGGTTTTTCGCACATAGAAATTTTTGCTAAAACTTCCCTCCAGCCAAGTCTTCTCCGTTATTTTTAGATTTCATTTTTGGCCCTTTCTTCCGTGTTAAAACTGACCAAGAGGTTGGTGAAGTTTCACGCTCTCTTTTTGTAAGCATTCTTCCGTCAGTGGAACATTTTCGTTTGTTATTTTCGATATTTAAATTGTCTTTTTTTCCTTTTGCAGAGTAAGGATGAAAATCTACGACCTGATTGTTGAGAACCTCATCATTTTGTTTTTCTTCGCTTGGAGTAGCTGCACTGTTTGTCTTAGATTCATCAATCAAAACTCCAGATGGTGGTGCTTCAACATTCTTATCTTCTTCATTTTCGGTACCATTACAAAACTGATCGCTTGTTGTTTCGTCATCGTTTTTCTCGTCGCTGGCATTATTGGAGCTTGGTTTTTGTGGGTAGTGATTATTTGGATTTTTGGTTATTTGGTTCCCTATGTTACACCAATCATCGTGATGACCTTTTTCTTGGCGTCCAGACATCTTGCATTTTTGAAATTCATGTAGTGAAGGTATGTGAAACGAGATTTCTACACCTTCCCACATTTTGAAGCCATCCATTCTCGATTTATAAGACCAGTCCTTCAGCTTTTTCTCTTGTTCTTCGTTTTGTATTTTAACTTCTAAAATTGCTCTTCCTGTGTAAACATACTGACCCGGTTCAGTTACGATACAGGTCTCACGTTGGAATATGGGTCTATGAATTATGTCTTCTGGCAATTGGAGAATTAATTTCGCTTCGATATCGTTGCATACATAAGGCAAGTTCGACAATTTGATTTTTGCTAGTTTAGGGTAAATGTTCTTGGGTCTATGAGACCTTGGAAAGCATCCCATGGGAAATACCGTCCTGTTAAGTAGAATGATTCCTTCGCTTTTGATGCTAGTTATGAATTGCTCTGCTTCTGGGGGAGCAATAACTGTCAGTGTATGAAGTTTGCGGTCATCTTTCGTCACGGTTATTGTTTTTGAGATTGTCATCTTCTGTTGCATTGTTGTGGGGAATTGTTTAAGTATATCGGAAGCACAACTTCGATATGCCTGCGCCAGATTTTCTGCTGACCTTACAATTTCTCTCGAGAATGGGGGGATGATTTTGATTATTTGGATTTGTTTTGTTGTGTCGTCGATTTGTTTGCTGTTAGCGCATTTCTGAAATTTGTCTCCGTTTCAATCAGCACTTCGTGAGTAATTGGTAGCTGAGATTCCGTCAGTTGTTGTTGACTCATGAATTGGTTTTACTCAATGGGGGGCAAAAAAGCCTTCACCCGTAGGTATACTTGAAAAAAAAAATAGATTTTTCTCTTTCAAAATGTAGAAATCAGAAGGCAAAAACATCAACTATATTGCACATCAAAAACATGCACAAGTGTCTTTATTGACAGAAAATTTTGTAAATATAAAAATTCTAAATTTGTTTCATGCTCATTTTTAACGTAGAAACTGAAAATTGCGAATATTAGGAAAACGGCCTAATATGCCTTCTTGTGAAGTTTAACTAGAAATGCAATTTGATGAGGTTTATAATCTACTTTTTCAGATAGTTGTTGAGTATGAGCTGCTCTAAGAAAGTTCTGGTAATTTTGGCGGAAGGAGCCGAAGAAATGGAAGTTGTTATTCCAGTTGACGTGATGAGGAGAGCTAAAATCAGCGTTACTTTGGCTGGATTGAAGTCTGATGAGAATGTGAAGTGTTCGAGAAATATTGTTTTAAAGCCGGATACTGCTCTTGCATCTGTTGCTAATGACATTTTTGACGCTGTCTTGATACCTGGAGGCGTAAATGGAGCTAAAAATCTGGCAGATGATGTAACTGTAGGCTTGGTATTGAAAAAACATTCAGACGCAGGTAAAATAGTTGCTGCAATTTGCGCAGGGCCTACGGCTGTTGCGAAGCACGGAATCGGCAATGGAAAAAAAGTGACATCTCATCCATCAGTTAAGAGCGTAATGGAGGAAGCGGGGTATGATTACTCAGAAGACCGAGTGGTAGTTGATGGTAGCCTGATCACCAGCCGGGGGCCTGGAACTGCGTTTGAACTAGCTTTCGCGATGATTGAGGCTCTAATTAATAAAGAAGCAGTGGAAGCGCTGAAACCTGGAATGCTGATCAAAGATAGTTAATTGCTATTAATCGACTTATTGGAAGAGAAGACTGAAAATATCGCACCTTAAGTTTGCTGGTATTGCACCTTAAGTATGATTGTTACTTCAATCATGCAAATAATTTAGAATGTGTTGATTGCAATTTGTAATTTATACTGCGTTGTCAAATTTGGTATGAAAACGTTTTTAAGAAAATCTAATTAGATTACTTGCTTAGGAGACGCTTAGTTTTTTGTGTCACATGAACGAAGGAAATTGGGCTACTGCCGTTGTTCAACGACCAGAGACACTATCTCTTTTTATAAAATTTATGTGCTTGGAATGGGTTGAAACTAACACAAAAGAGCTACAATCTCGATTAAAAACATCCCAAGCTTAAGTTTTGAAATAACCTAAATTCGCGTACGAAAATGCCGCTAAAAGCTGGGTTGGTAACTTATCATCTATCACTTTTCAATGGAAAGCGTGCGTTTGATCTATTTGAGTTAACTGCATGATTTAAATGTTTTTAAAAATATTTAAGGTTTCGAATGACAGTTTGTTTTATTCGAGCTGCAAAATTGCGTAATCTACTGATCGTTGAGCGAATAATTGAAGTTAACCGAAAAAACGTGCAGGGACCTTTGTACATGATATGTCAAGACTTAATTGATCGAGAGCTGAGCTTAGCAGCAGCACAAAATATTATTCACAGCTTTTATAGAAAGCACTCTCAAATAGCAAATGCACCGAATTGTCGGTTTTTTCTTGACGAATTTGAAATATATAAAAAGAGCGGAAAAGAAATCAGTAATGTTATGTTTGATTCAACTGATCACACTGCTAGAAAGCATGCAGCAAATATTCAGAACGCTAAAATGACTGAAATAGACATTGAATGCCCTACATCATGCTTCATTGAAAACCATTCGAAGATGAAACGTTACCATGGTGTTGTGCTGGGAGGAACTTTTGATAAATTGCACTATGGGCACGAGTTGCTTCTGACTATATCAGCTTATTTAGCAGAGAACAAAATCGTAATAGGAATTACTGATGATGACTATGTTCAAAAGCGGAAGATACTCCCTGAATTTATCGATACAGCCAAATGTCGAGTTCATTTGGTCAAAAATTATGTTCAATCCATACATCCTTCTCTTAAGGAAGTAATCGTTGAATCCATGAATGACGGTTTTGGGCCTTCAATTCGCGAAGTTGATCTCGACGCCATAGTTGTTTCACCAGAGACCTTAAAAGGCGGACAAGCCGTTGTTACAAAAAGAAAAGAACTAGGATTGTGCAATCTTGAAATTGAGCAGATTGAAATTTTAGACGATAGATTGTCGACTGAAAGTTCCGTTTATGAGGAAAAAATTTCCTCGTCAAATCAGAGGAAGCAGATACTCGGTACTCGTATCGCACCCTCAAAAAAAAACAAATTCAAATCTGAGTCGTTAATCATTGGTGTCACTGGTGGAATAGCATGCGGTAAAAGTGCGCTAACAGAGAAAATAGTCAATATGTTCAAGACCCATTTCGAAGTTATTGCTGTAGACTGTGACAAACTAGCGCACTTAGCCTATGAAAGTGGCTCTGATTGCTTTGAACAAATAATACAAAGTTTCGGCAAAGATGTTTTAATGTTAAATAGTGTTGGCTCTCAGGAGATAAACAGACAAGTTTTAGGCCAGAAAGTTTTCGGAGATCATAATAAATTGAAGAAACTGAATGAAATTGTATGGCCGGAAGTTCGAAAACAAGTGGAAAATATCATCAAGAAAAATCCTGAAAAGGCAAAATTATTGTCGTTGAAGCCGCGCTTCTAATAGAGGCTGAATGGGCAGATTTATGCGAAGAAATTTTCACGTGTATAGTTCCAAAGCAAATGGCACTCGAACGGCTATCGACAAGAAACCCATTGTTGTCTGCGGAAGAAGCGCTCTCTCGCATTGAAAGTCAAATTTCGAATAGAGAGCGAATTGAGCATTCTACTTTTGTTTTCTCAACGCAATGGGATCACGACTTCACCTTACATCAACTCACTAAAGCTTTCAGTACAATAAAACATGAGCTCCTCTTGTGAGCTTTTTGGTTGTCTTTAATTAAATAAAATCAATGAACAAAATTAAGTTAATGCTTGAAGAATATATACTCCTTGAGTCGGAGAACGAATAATTTAATGTAGTCAAAAACTGATTTCGTATTGCACGCTTGAGGCTGATTTTTTGGGACTCATTTAGGTCTGAGTTTTGTGTTTTGCTTGATTTCTGGTTCGAATTTCTCAAATTAAATTCAAAAAAAAATTCACAGGTATCAAAACGAAATGTAATCACAACCAAATGACATTAAAATCGTTTAAATCAGATGATATTCATTTAATTGGAAAGCGTAACTGCAGGGAGGGAAAAAAGCACCAGAAAAGAGGAAAAAAGGAATAAAAAACGTTTGGCTTTCGTATAAAAAAAACGTTTAATCGCATAAGTTCAGATCGAAATCTTAAATCAACTACAGCAATGGATCAAAACTTTTGATATTTTTTTGCTGCTCGATTATATTTTTTGTCGGAAAAACTCTGATTGCTATCAAAAAACATTTTATGTTAAAGTGGAGCCGCCCCTAATATCAATCAATCTTACAGTATTCAATGAAAAAATCTTTGTCCCACAAAAAAGTCGCCAATTATCTCATCTTGTTAATCAGATTTCTCGTATTATCTTATATCGTATGAGTGTTTTTTCTAGTGGGTACTCCTGTATAGGTCTTGGTATTTTTTTTTTATTTTTTTTTTTCAGCTCATTTTGATTTTTCGCGGTTTGACTTGTGGTTTCTTTTTAAGTTCAGTCCATTTCCATTGTTAAAAGGAAGGCAAACTCTGCTATTGAACAGCAAAAGAGTTAAGGTCACGAAAAACGTGATCGGCTTCTACTTTCGAAAATGGAAATTAATTATCAGATTACCTAGCGAAATAAAAGTTTTACTTATTGATCCAGTTTTCTGAAATTTGATTAATTTAAAACAAAAAAAGTGTCCATCATAAATTGTTCTATAAATTCAAAGAGGTTTTAGGCCATCTATTCTTTCTCTTCGAATTTCAAAACTTGAAGGCTTGAAAACACGTCGGTTTGTTTTTTCAGTTTCCTTGCGTTCATTACTCTTCCAACTGTCAGTTAGCCATGTTTGTATGAACTGGCAAAACTTTGTTGTTAGTGTAGGCTTCGAGGAGGGGAGCTGAAACCTTCCTCTCCAGAACACACACGCATAAGAAAACCAGTTTTTTTGCAGCGCAATGGTTAGCTGCTCAAGTTTGGGAGGTTTTTTTTAGCGTCTAGGAAGTTTAGTACCGATCCGCTCATTTAACATATAATTTTGTGACTCGGCTTGTTTTTGTTTGAACGAATTTAATCTAAGGTAAATAGAGACAATGTTTTTCTCAGACTAATTTCATATTTTTTTCGACGCGGTGGAATTATCTTATTTAATGTCGGCTAGTTTGCCCTGTTATGGTTGTCACTATCGGATGGTTAGTTAAAATGTTAGGCCAGCAGAATAATTTAAGGTGCTTGCGGTTCACTTGTACAGGGATAGTTAAATTTAATGTGTAATCTTGCGCTTCATTTTGTCCATTGTTTCAGATAGTGTGTTCCTTTTTATGGAATGCTGATTCCTTTAAGACCTAAATGGAGGCGACACAAAGCGATCAAACATTGGCGTTCTTTTTACTAAAATGCAAGCAGAAGAAAGGCTCTCAATCGCGTTGACAGGAACCGGTGCTCTCAAACATGCGAACCAGAAACCTACTGCTGTCTCTCGACCTCAAGTAATCCAACCTGTGCTGCTGAAATCGAAGCCGCCCGCTTTCAAAAGTGAGTTCAAAGTTGTTGCAGATGATTTAGCCGAAAATAATCCAAAGTATTCTCAAGCTCGAATAGTCTCAGATAACGGAGCTGAAGAGACACGTTCGAAAAATCAACGAGGTGAAAACTTAACAACGCGATTGCTAAAGCGGAGTCAAAGTTTGAGCAACAAATTCACAGGTAGAAAAAATAAGGAAACCAAACGAAATATATCAACTAGTAACAACGAAAAAGATGTTGCACCGAACAAAGAACGTAAAAGTTTCGAACAAAGAGACATATCGCCTTATCAAACTTCGAGAAACTCGCTCCGAAAACCGAGTAAGTTGAAAACCGAATTTACCGCAGCTAAAAAACTGTCCAAAGACTTATGTTTACCTCAAATCCCAAAAGCCAACACAATTTCTGCCCCTAGTGTACAGCAGTTGAAAGAGCAAGTTGATAGTGAGAAAAAGGCTCAACAAAGACGAGAAATTTACGCCTTGAACAAGGAAATGAAGAAGTTGGAAAACGACATGTTTCAGCGGTTCATGGCGACCCATTCATTCAGTACAAATGGACATAAAATGACTGCAAATGGCGATTTAAGAGAGTCACCAATTAGCATATCAGAGTTGGGAAGAGTTTAACGAGACTTACGTGTCGTCAAAGCTCCCGATTACTAATTTAGTTGTCTTAGGTCTCACGTGCAACCGAAATGTTATTTCTATTTTCATATCCAGTTTTATATCTTATAGCTATATCTTAAAGTTTCAATTAAATTTGGCTGACATGAGTTATTTTGCGTGAGTCACAGGTCATTTTGGCATGCATAGTTCTTGAGCAGGGATAGTATGTAAAGTTCATCAATTGACCCGACGTTTACTTCCACAAACGTGGTTTCAAAATTCAGTTTCTGATTAAATTACAAATGAATGAGAAGTTATCATATGGTATGTACAGTTTTAATGCTTGATTGATAAACCGGAGATCATGTGTTTATATGATGGGTTCTGCAAGCACATGAAACTTCTGGAACGAAAATTTGTAAGGGCCAGGTCTTGCAGCCTTGTCGACGGTGAGAAACAGTAATGAATTTTTGTTTCAGGTGTTTCTTGTTTGTTTGATTTTTGTCCTCTCGACAGAGTGATTACCACCGAGTATGTCTGAGTCACTGAACATGAGCCTCGAGCACCGAGACGAGAACGACGACAACGTTGTTGGAAGCGTACTTCCCAAACTGGAGCCCTGTGACAACCCGGTGGACGTGAAACCCAACATTGAACAACTGGCCAAGAAGGGTCCCATAGGTAAGCTCTTCCCAAGGCTAAATTGTGATGAAAATACTCGGAAAGTTTCTGAAACGTTCCATTGTTATACTTGTATGAAACAAGCGCAAGATTATGTCATAAGTTGTACTTGTTCATTAGCATTGGTTGTGGCGTTTCAGATTCCAGGAAGAAAGGAGATGAGTCCGATTTTGATCCTACAAATCTGACCGAAGAGGAAGATCCCTCAATTCCTGAGGACGAAGACGCAAGTTTTGCATCTTACGTTGGGGGGAAAGGGAACAAGCGAAACAAATCAAAACATCTTTATAGTACGTACCAACGGGTACCGTCGAGACCCTACGCTGCTGCGCAGAGGAATTACGAAAGCGAAGATGACAATTTCTCTGCTTTGCCCAGACAACGACTTTCGAGATCATGCAAAAACCCAGCTGTCCGACCGATTCTAGACATCGACATTCCATCGAGTAGCAGTCCAGAAGAATTTGACGAGTCGATCCACGTCATGTCGAAAGCTTACAAGTTGGAACTGGAAGCGAAAAAGGCGAAAGAAATAGCAGCTAAATCGCCAGGAGCGGTAAACGAGAAAATTGAAACCGAACTTGTGAAAGAGGAACCACAGGAAAACATGCAAATGGGATCTCCTTCTAAGAAAATGAAAGAAGAACCAGCTGAACATGATGATAAATAGAAATGAACTTCTGAAAACTTAAGCTTGTTAGATTTGAACTGTTTGATTCCAATTTCTTGTAAGTTGTTTACTGTGAAAGTTGTTTTACTGTCATGAAAAGATAGATGATTTTAAAATTACTACTGAAAAAAGTTGCTTATCATTTTTGTAAAAAAAAATCTGTTAAATTTACTAACTTTACAAAGCTTAATTAATTTTAAGCCCAAATCTTCCACCTTACTTGTTTCATAAAAATGAAAATTGCCATCTTTTTTGAAAAGCGGCTGTTCAATTTTTCAACTTCTTTAATACAAGAAGATTATAAGTTTCATTTTGAGCAAGCAAACCAAGCAATTGCTTCAATTATCTCACTACTCTTTACACCTGCTAGTATTTAAGAGCGTAGTTAAATAGCGCGAGTAGTTCTTTTTTCAACCTAAGGTCTAATGGAGTGCAGCCTGTATTTAGACAACCGCGTATTCATACTCGTCAGTATTTAGACAAATACTGAATGAACCAATCAGAATCGAGAAAAGACATAAATAATGCAAAATAAATAATAATTATTTATTAATTTCTTCTTTGTCTCGGTTCTGATTGGTTGAAACAGTATTTGTCTAAGTACTGACGAGTCTGAATACGCGGTTGTCTAATAAATGCTATGTAACCGTCGCAAATGTTGGTGGCATTTTTGGGTGGCTTTTCGAGAACACGTGTTTTGACATTGGATTAGTAATAAGTTGATGATTTAATAATGCATCAATTGTATTAACTTAAAACTAATCGAATGTCAAAGCACGTGTTTTCAAAAAGCCACCAAGTGAACCGAAAAAAAACTTTGTTTCGAACAACTGCAATAATAAAAACTGAATTTCAGAAAAATTCCAACTATTGGAATACCTTTTTTTAAATGCAGAATTTATCACGTACCAGACATATTGTCAATTACAGATATGAACTGGTAAAGTCCAGAATTGATTTAGTTGCAGGTATGAAACAGACATGAACAGACCTGTAAATCGGAAAAAAAACATGCTCAGACCTGGCTCACGTCATCTTGCCTGACTCAGACATGCGCTGAGTCAGGATAGAAGAGATAATAATATTATTACTTAGATAAGATAATTAATACTTAGATAAGATAAGATAATTATTACCTGTTTCACATGACTTAAAATTGAAATCATACAGACCAGTGAGTTAGACTGTTTGGGATATTTTAAACAAAAGAGGATGATATTTTTGATCTATAGAAACTGAATGGCAATTTAAAAATATCTTTAATCGGGCAAATTTTGACGACGCTTCCTTTTTGCTGCAACAAGAAAAAAGAATACTAAAAAAGCGCCCTGAAAAAAAATCCGAACCAAAGTCAAGCTTTAACAATTTCAAAACACAAAATTTTGTTTAAGAACCGTAAATATTATAAACTGAGTAGAAAGAAGGCAAAAATTATCCAGAAATAGAAAACAAAATCTTTTTTAGGTGGTAAATGAATTGAAAACTAGCAAAATTAAACACAGCTGAATAAAGATAGTTAAAATAATTTAAGCCCAATTGGACTAGGTTAAATCCAATTGATGAAACAAGTAATTAACAAATCGAAAAAAGAAATCATTATGAAGTGATTTATAAATTCAAGTGGTTCCAACAAATTTCTAACATGAGCTAGCTTTTTGGAAGATTTTTTTATACATTTCTGAGTTCGAAAGATACTTCATTCAGGGTACTTGTATTGATGCTGACATTGATAAGGCTTTGTTAACATAATTAATAGGTGTATTGGTGCTTATTTTTTCATAGCTAGGGACGAATAAATCTAAAATCCAGGGCGGTTTAACGGGAAAAATTTTGCAGCAGAGAACTATTTGAGAAAGTTTGAACACAAAGCCTGTATTGGTCACTATTTTAATCAGAAACTTATAAGTGCCACGGCAGTTTATCAATTGTCCAAATGTATAAATTAAGTCATTCGTAGGACTCGTCACAGAAATATCAGGTTTCTGATAACGTATTGTTTGTCGGTATGTTCGAATTAATTGTTTTTGTTTCGTGGTCTTCATACAGGGGTCGGTAGGGGATGATCCGTGGGTGCGTCAGCAGTTTACAAAACACTAAGTAGCTGTATTTTTGATAGTCTCTCCATGTGCGGGCTCCTGTTTTGTTGCCAAGACCTCAGAACTTCCGAACAAAAGTAAGTAATGTATATGAGACAAGTTCGATTTCGAAACACTTTGCCAGGCGAATAGATGAATAAACACATGGCAGACCTTATTAAAGAAAGTTTGCCCTTGAACTTGCATGTCTTTTTTAAAGCTGAAATATGCTTCCCCAGATCTTAATTCGTCATTGCAGTATTCATAATTAAAAGCTTAAAACTCTATTTTGATATTAAAATGAGGTCGAATATTAATCCGACCCTCAAAGATGTTGAAGAAATGACTGTTCTGGGATGTTTTTTTTCTCTAAACTAATTTCGACTTTTTGATTTTTCTTGCACCCACAACCAACAACAGCTTCTAATCTGGATAGAAAATTTATATAGATAATCTAACATAGTTTTCTGTGTTTTTTGTATAGAAACTATTTATTTCTCATATGACATTAGAAATATACAATTTTTGGAAATAATAACCAGAAATCAGCTCACTTCCCAGCCGCAATGAGATAAGAAATGCTTTGAGTTTACAAAATAGCCGCAGCAGTACAATTCAATCAAACACTTGCTACAAGAAAATTTACTTTGCATTAGATTGCTAAACTATTTGAATGTTTCAGGTCATAAGGTCTAGCCAATAGCACATCAAACTGGCCAGCAGTCGGAGGCTTGAGTCCCACGGAAGATTTTTTCTAGTTAGAAATAGTCTTGATTAAGCTGATTTCTGATCAAAAATAGATGAGAAAAGAAAAACTTTTAAAAAACATTTCGATTATATAAGCAATTCAAAAACAATTTCCGTCCAGATATTTAGGTTAAAGGTTGAGAATTTCTCGTGAGAAATAAAGAAAATGTTCGGTACGGGTAAACGGCCCAAAATCATTGTAATAAAGTTTATGTGAATGAATCTGATTGACGAATTTGTTTGTCCGGCATTTCAACTAAAATGTCAAGCGTATAAAATTATTATCCAAAAAGGCCAAAAATAGAAAACTTATGCTCTGTTGAAGCCATTTTACTGGTCTTTTTTTGTCTGGGAAAAATTTCGCAAGTGATTTGAATTCATTTGACAATTTGAATGAGGTTTGTTTAATTTATCTAATTATTATTCCACTTTCTCTGTGATTTCAGCTAAAAAATTAATCTGCTGGGATTTTTGATTGAAACGCCTGACCGTGTTGCTTGAATGTGGTAAGAGAAAATTAGCAATCAGTTTTCATAAAGTTTTTCTCACTTTTGGCTGGATTTTTTATGTAAATTCAGAAGTACTGATGCCCTACGCGTTTGCGGTTAAATTGATTGTTTCGCAATGATTTGAGGCAACCAATTTTTTCTTATTTTTGCGTTACCAAACTCATTATAACCAAATTTGCCCTGATACGACCAGTCTTGTTTTGTTATATATTAGGTCGTGATAGTCTATTGAGCAGATTTGTGGTCTTGTTGTTTTGTATCCTGTGAAATTAACATCATTCATATCTGACAAATCGTGAAGCGACAATTCGTAACAGGCGACAATTCGGAACAAGCGACAATTCGTAACAGTAGATTAAGCTGGGAACACTGATTCACGCGCAAAATTCCTCTCGTGCCGGATGTAAGCGCAGCGAAGCGAAGCGGAGCAAGCGTATTCTTCTTGCCAATTCCTTATTATGAATTCTCGCTTGTTACGAATTGCTCCTGTTACGAATTGTCGCCCTACCCTAGCAAATATGGCGTGAGAAAGATTCAATTTTTGACTAAACCGCTGAATTTTATTGCCATGAATGAAAAACAATTATGGACTGGACCTTAGCTCCGCCTCACATGCAACAACACTTTTGTCGTATTTCCTTATCATTTTGTTTCTATTCATTGCTTAATTGGCTCAAAAGCTAACATTGGTATTATTTTATTTTAACCGTTTTTTCATTTATTCAAAATGCAAAAAATGGGGGCTTTATTAGGACTATTTTGAGGCTCGATTTTCGATACTAATGAATAATTCATGAAATTAGGTCAACGGTGTATTATTAAAACAAATTAAAAGGCACTAAAGTGAAATTAGTCTACTAAGAAAGTACATTTGTGAAAAAATTAACTGTCTTGTTGCTTCTTGAAAACCTGGAAAAGTCTATACTTTTGAGGTCAAGGTGCCGCGTCTGTAAGTTTTAAACAAATTCAACGTTGATTTTCCATGAATTAAAACTGATTCTACAAATTCACAGGTAGAAAAAATAAGGAAACCAAACGAAATATATCAACTAGTAACAACGAAAAAGATGTTGCACCGAACAAAGAACGTAAAAGTTTCGAACAAAGAGACATATCGCCTTATCAAACTTCGAGAAACTCGCTCCGAAAACCGAGTAAGTTGAAAACCGAATTTACCGCAGCTAAAAAACTGTCCAAAGACTTATGTTTACCTCAAATCCCAAAAGCCAACACAATTTCTGCCCCTAGTGTACAGCAGTTGAAAGAGCAAGTTGATAGTGAGAAAAAGGCTCAACAAAGACGAGAAATTTACGCCTTGAACAAGGAAATGAAGAAGTTGGAAAACGACATGTTTCAGCGGTTCATGGCGACCCATTCATTCAGTACAAATGGACATAAAATGACTGCAAATGGCGATTTAAGAGAGTCACCAATTAGCATATCAGAGTTGGGAAGAGTTTAACGAGACTTACGTGTCGTCAAAGCTCCCGATTACTAATTTAGTTGTCTTAGGTCTCACGTGCAACCGAAATGTTATTTCTATTTTCATATCCAGTTTTATATCTTATAGCTATATCTTAAAGTTTCAATTAAATTTGGCTGACATGAGTTATTTTGCGTGAGTCACAGGTCATTTTGGCATGCATAGTTCTTGAGCAGGGATAGTATGTAAAGTTCATCAATTGACCCGACGTTTACTTCCACAAACGTGGTTTCAAAATTCAGTTTCTGATTAAATTACAAATGAATGAGAAGTTATCATATGGTATGTACAGTTTTAATGCTTGATTGATAAACCGGAGATCATGTGTTTATATGATGGGTTCTGCAAGCACATGAAACTTCTGGAACGAAAATTTGTAAGGGCCAGGTCTTGCAGCCTTGTCGACGGTGAGAAACAGTAATGAATTTTGTTTCAGGTGTTTCTTGTTTGTTTGATTTTTGTCCTCTCGACAGAGTGATTACCACCGAGTATGTCTGAGTCACTGAACATGAGCCTCGAGCACCGAGACGAGAACGACGACAACGTTGTTGGAAGCGTACTTCCCAAACTGGAGCCCTGTGACAACCCGGTGGACGTGAAACCCAACATTGAACAACTGGCCAAGAAGGGTCCCATAGGTAAGCTCTTCCCAAGGCTAAATTGTGATGAAAATACTCGGAAAGTTTCTGAAACGTTCCATTGTTATACTTGTATGAAACAAGCGCAAGATTATGTCATAAGTTGTACTTGTTCATTAGCATTGGTTGTGGCGTTTCAGATTCCAGGAAGAAAGGAGATGAGTCCGATTTTGATCCTACAAATCTGACCGAAGAGGAAGATCCCTCAATTCCTGAGGACGAAGACGCAAGTTTTGCATCTTACGTTGGGGGGAAAGGGAACAAGCGAAACAAATCAAAACATCTTTATAGTACGTACCAACGGGTACCGTCGAGACCCTACGCTGCTGCGCAGAGGAATTACGAAAGCGAAGATGACAATTTCTCTGCTTTGCCCAGACAACGACTTTCGAGATCATGCAAAAACCCAGCTGTCCGACCGATTCTAGACATCGACATTCCATCGAGTAGCAGTCCAGAAGAATTTGACGAGTCGATCCACGTCATGTCGAAAGCTTACAAGTTGGAACTGGAAGCGAAAAAGGCGAAAGAAATAGCAGCTAAATCGCCAGGAGCGGTAAACGAGAAAATTGAAACCGAACTTGTGAAAGAGGAACCACAGGAAAACATGCAAATGGGATCTCCTTCTAAGAAAATGAAAGAAGAACCAGCTGAACATGATGATAAATAGAAATGAACTTCTGAAAACTTAAGCTTGTTAGATTTGAACTGTTTGATTCCAATTTCTTGTAAGTTGTTTACTGTGAAAGTTGTTTTACTGTCATGAAAAGATAGATGATTTTAAAATTACTACTGAAAAAAGTTGCTTATCATTTTTGTAAAAAAAAAATCTGTTAAATTTACTAACTTTACAAAGCTTAATTAATTTTAAGCCCAAATCTTCCACCTTACTTGTTTCATAAAAATGAAAATTGCCATCTTTTTTGAAAAGCGGCTGTTCAATTTTTCAACTTCTTTAATACAAGAAGATTATAAGTTTCATTTTGAGCAAGCAAACCAAGCAATTGCTTCAATTATCTCACTACTCTTTACACCTGCCAGTATTTAAGAGCGTAGTTAAATAGCGCGAGTAGTTCTTTTTTCAACCTAAGGTCTAATGGAGTGCAGCCTGTATTTAGACAACCGCGTATTCATACTCGTCAGTATTTAGACAAATACTGAATGAACCAATCAGAATCGAGAAAAGACATAAATAATGCAAAATAAATAATAATTATTTATTAATTTCTTCTTTGTCTCAATTCTGATTGGTTGAAACAGTATTTGTCTAAGTACTGACGAGTCTGAATACGCGGTTGTCTAATAAATGCTATGTAACCGTCGCAAATGTTGGTGGCATTTTTGGGTGGCTTTTCGAGAACACGTGTTTTGACATTGGATTAGTAATAAGTTGATGATTTAATAATGCATCAATTGTATTAACTTAAAACTAATCGAATGTCAAAGCACGTGTTTTCAAAAAGCCACCAAGTGAACCGAAAAAAAACTTTGTTTCGAACAACTGCAATAATAAAAACTGAATTTCAGAAAAATTCCAACTATTGGAATACCTTTTTTTAAATGCAGAATTTATCACGTACCAGACATATTGTCAATTACAGATATGAACTGGTAAAGTCCAGAATTGATTTAGTTGCAGGTATGAAACAGACATGAACAGACCTGTAAATCGGAAAAAAAACATGCTCAGACCTGGCTCACGTCATCTTGCCTGACTCAGACATGCGCTGAGTCAGGATAGAAGAGATAATAATATTATTACTTAGATAAGATAATTAATACTTAGATAAGATAAGATAATTATTACCTGTTTCACATGACTTAAAATTGAAATCATACAGACCAGTGAGTTAGACTGTTTGGGATATTTTAAACAAAAGAGGATGATATTTTTGATCTATAGAAACTGAATGGCAATTTAAAAATATCTTTAATCGGGCAAATTTTGACGACGCTTCCTTTTTGCTGCAACAAGAAAAAAGAATACTAAAAAAGCGCCCTGAAAAAAAATCCGAACCAAAGTCAAGCTTTAACAATTTCAAAACACAAAATTTTGTTTAAGAACCGTAAATATTATAAACTGAGTAGAAAGAAGGCAAAAATTATCCAGAAATAGAAAACAAAATCTTTTTTAGGTGGTAAATGAATTGAAAACTAGCAAAATTAAACACAGCTGAATAAAGATAGTTAAAATAATTTAAGCCCAATTGGACTAGGTTAAATCCAATTGATGAAACAAGTAATTAACAAATCGAAAAAAGAAATCATTATGAAGTGATTTATAAATTCAAGTGGTTCCAACAAATTTCTAACATGAGCTAGCTTTTTGGAAGATTTTTTTATACATTTCTGAGTTCGAAAGATACTTCATTCAGGGTACTTGTATTGATGCTGACATTGATAAGGCTTTGTTAACATAATTAATAGGTGTATTGGTGCTTATTTTTTCATAGCTAGGGACGAATAAATCTAAAATCCAGGGCGGTTTAACGGGAAAAATTTTGCAGCAGAGAACTATTTGAGAAAGTTTGAACACAAAGCCTGTATTGGTCACTATTTTAATCAGAAACTTATAAGTGCCACGGCAGTTTATCAATTGTCCAAATGTATAAATTAAGTCATTCGTAGGACTCGTCACAGAAATATCAGGTTTCTGATAACGTATTGTTTGTCGGTATGTTCGAATTAATTGTTTTTGTTTCGTGGTCTTCATACAGGGGTCGGTAGGGGATGATCCGTGGGTGCGTCAGCAGTTTACAAAACACTAAGTAGCTGTATTTTTGATAGTCTCTCCATGTGCGGGCTCCTGTTTTGTTGCCAAGACCTCAGAACTTCCGAACAAAAGTAAGTAATGTATATGAGACAAGTTCGATTTCGAAACACTTTGCCAGGCGAATAGATGAATAAACACATGGCAGACCTTATTAAAGAAAGTTTGCCCTTGAACTTGCATGTCTTTTTTAAAGCTGAAATATGCTTCCCCAGATCTTAATTCGTCATTGCAGTATTCATAATTAAAAGCTTAAAACTCTATTTTGATATTAAAATGAGGTCGAATATTAATCCGACCCTCAAAGATGTTGAAGAAATGACTGTTCTGGGATGTTTTTTTTCTCTAAACTAATTTCGACTTTTTGATTTTTCTTGCACCCACAACCAACAACAGCTTCTAATCTGGATAGAAAATTTATATAGATAATCTAACATAGTTTTCTGTGTTTTTTGTATAGAAACTATTTATTTCTCATATGACATTAGAAATATACAATTTTTGGAAATAATAACCAGAAATCAGCTCACTTCCCAGCCGCAATGAGATAAGAAATGCTTTGAGTTTACAAAATAGCCGCAGCAGTACAATTCAATCAAACACTTGCTACAAGAAAATTTACTTTGCATTAGATTGCTAAACTATTTGAATGTTTCAGGTCATAAGGTCTAGCCAATAGCACATCAAACTGGCCAGCAGTCGGAGGCTTGAGTCCCACGGAAGATTTTTTCTAGTTAGAAATAGTCTTGATTAAGCTGATTTCTGATCAAAAATAGATGAGAAAAGAAAAACTTTTAAAAAACATTTCGATTATATAAGCAATTCAAAAACAATTTCCGTCCAGATATTTAGGTTAAAGGTTGAGAATTTCTCGTGAGAAATAAAGAAAATGTTCGGTACGGGTAAACGGCCCAAAATCATTGTAATAAAGTTTATGTGAATGAATCTGATTGACGAATTTGTTTGTCCGGCATTTCAACTAAAATGTCAAGCGTATAAAATTATTATCCAAAAAGGCCAAAAATAGAAAACTTATGCTCTGTTGAAGCCATTTTACTGGTCTTTTTTTGTCTGGGAAAAATTTCGCAAGTGATTTGAATTCATTTGACAATTTGAATGAGGTTTGTTTAATTTATCTAATTATTATTCCACTTTCTCTGTGATTTCAGCTAAAAAATTAATCTGCTGGGATTTTTGATTGAAACGCCTGACCGTGTTGCTTGAATGTGGTAAGAGAAAATTAGCAATCAGTTTTCATAAAGTTTTTCTCACTTTTGGCTGGATTTTTTATGTAAATTCAGAAGTACTGATGCCCTACGCGTTTGCGGTTAAATTGATTGTTTCGCAATGATTTGAGGCAACCAATTTTTTCTTATTTTTGCGTTACCAAACTCATTATAACCAAATTTGCCCTGATACGACCAGTCTTGTTTTGTTATATATTAGGTCGTGATAGTCTATTGAGCAGATTTGTGGTCTTGTTGTTTTGTATCCTGTGAAATTAACATCATTCATATCTGACAAATCGTGAAGCGACAATTCGTAACAGGCGACAATTCGGAACAAGCGACAATTCGTAACAGTAGATTAAGCTGGGAACACTGATTCACGCGCAAAATTCCTCTCGTGCCGGATGTAAGCGCAGCGAAGCGAAGCGGAGCAAGCGTATTCTTCTTGCCAATTCCTTATTATGAATTCTCGCTTGTTACGAATTGCTCCTGTTACGAATTGTCGCCCTACCCTAGCAAATATGGCGTGAGAAAGATTCAATTTTTGACTAAACCGCTGAATTTTATTGCCATGAATGAAAAACAATTATGGACTGGACCTTAGCTCCGCCTCACATGCAACAACACTTTTGTCGTATTTCCTTATCATTTTGTTTCTATTCATTGCTTAATTGGCTCAAAAGCTAACATTGGTATTATTTTATTTTAACCGTTTTTTCATTTATTCAAAATGCAAAAAATGGGGGCTTTATTAGGACTATTTTGAGGCTCGATTTTCGATACTAATGAATAATTCATGAAATTAGGTCAACGGTGTATTATTAAAACAAATTAAAAGGCACTAAAGTGAAATTAGTCTACTAAGAAAGTACATTTGTGAAAAAATTAACTGTCTTGTTGCTTCTTGAAAACCTGGAAAAGTCTATACTTTTGAGGTCAAGGTGCCGCGTCTGTAAGTTTTAAACAAATTCAACGTTGATTTTCCATGAATTAAAACTGATTGTTACAGCTATCCAATGTCACAAAAACTGTGTATGCTGAAATGAGCAGCATCTGAGTTAGACTAATATCAACAAGGACATAAGTCATCTATGGAACTTTTTTTGCGTTTCAAATTGACGGTTTGTACCTGTGGTACAGCACATACTGCATGTGCAGTAACCAAGTAACCTTTGCTGCACACTAACCTTGGACCGCATTTTGGTATCTATAATTATATATTTTGTTGTTACGTAATGGCCAAGGTCACGTAGTGTTGATCGCTGCGTAGATTCTGTATTTAGTTGCTAAGCTTTGCGTACCGAGTTACGTTTGACAAGCTGGTTCACGAAACCACAGATGATGTTAAAAACACAGTTTCCATTTGAATTAAAGCATTGAAACTAATCATTTTCAATTTAAGAGTAAAGCTTTACTTCACTTTACCACAGTACCGATGGTCTGATTTGCACAATCAAAAAACAGCAAAAATTAGCTTTTTTACAACGAAGAGTTCCTATTGCATAATTTCACGTGTCCACGAAAACTGCTACCCGCTGTGTCAAAACTAAGATTCTGCTCAGTTTTATTTGAATTTCAATCAGTAAACCATAATCACATTAGATACTAGTTTGAACTTTATAAATCAATTTAAACCATCAATTTTAGTTCCTATAAAATCTGTTCAGAAGGTTTGGAGGCGTTTTCGGAGTTACTGAAGTTCCTACAAACTTCATCAAACTTCTTTTAAATCAATTCATTGGGATTACAATCATAGCCTTGATGTAGCATTTAATTATTTGTTACTTTTGCCTGTACTTTTGTGCAAACAAATTGCACTCAGGAAAAAATTTCCGTCAGCGTTACAGTCACCTCAGGAAAAATGTTGACCGCAATTAGT